AGCCAGAAGCATCCAGACAAAGTTAGTTCTCATGCACTTTCCAGCCTGTTTTTGTAGATCCTAAAGTTCCAGACAAGCACCAAAACTTGGCAAATGTCATGACTATGATTGTGACTTTGCAGTGGCTGGAAAGGACCACCCTGGATGTAGAAAAAGTCACAAAACTATTGGTGAGCCTATTAGATTCTGGGTTCTACTCCACACAGGAGGTTTTCCTGGGCTGTGATGACTCTCCCTCACTCACACTGCTTTTCCTCCCTCTGTTTATGCATCCACGAGCTGCCTCAAGAGAGGAAGGTGTTGGTTTTGCTTTGCACCTTCCCACCTTGTTAGGAATTTCCTCCAGACACTTCAGCCCCCCTCCCCTTTTTTTTGGTCCCCACGTCAGGTGTTTTTCCAGCTTCCTTGAGCCTTGTGGCTTACATTTCTCTTGCTCCTCTGATGAGTGTGAATGGGAAGTGGAACCTGTTCCTAATTAGTTCCTATAATGATGTGTTAACACACTTTGCTGCATGGGTGCACCTTAGGTACTTCAGAGTTAGATCCTGTTGGGGGCAGTTTCATTGGCTTTCCTTACTTGCTGTCCACAAGACCCCCTTGCTGGGCTGGTTTGCAGCACCTTCACCTCTGAGATTTCTCCCAGTTCCTTTATATTTCTATCTTATTATGTAGTCTGATCTTTTTTCACCTCAGTGGAGTGCTATTGCCCTGGCGGGACGACTTATGGGGAGGAGAAGGTAGTTCAGTCTCCAGGGGCTGTTCAGTCCATGGTGCCTCTGCTGAGACTGCAAGAAACAACAACAATCCTTCTGCTAGCTGACAGCTGGCCTTAAAATTCAAAGGCTTTCAAAAGCTTCCTTGTGACAGTGGAGAGTATGTAGTTGTGAGAGGGCATCTGGCTTCCCCCATGTTGGTGACTCCCTCTTTCATGGTAACCACCTACTGGATGGGGGAGGTCTGCCCTACCTCATGTTGCCTTCACCATTGTGACTGTCAGTGCTGCTGTTTGAGAGGTTGGGATACGGATCACATCTGTTTGAGACCTGTGGGTATCTTCTGGTGTTGACAGGGGAGCCCATCCAATAGGAGATGATTTGACTTTAAAGATTGGGAGAGAGTCACTTGGAGGGAAAACCTTGAAGACTCCTTGATATCCATGCAGGGTGTATTCCACACCCAGTTAAGGTTTGCAGCAAGGTCTTGTGAAGCTGGAGAGAATTGTGTCTGGGATTTCCCACACATTAGAGTCCTTGTTAAATTTCCTTCTTATGACGACAACCCTGCTGCAACATGACCATGTTCATCTGCAGCAATTGCCACTGTTGGAAGGAAATGTACCCATGGGATCTTGAGTGGTATCTGCGATGAGGTATTCTAGTCTTGGAAAGTGGCATTTTTAAAGGGGAATTGATGTAATGCAAATTGCAAAATGCCCAGATTAAAAAACCAGCCCCATTAATTTGTATTAATGTTTCTCTTTGGACTAGAAAACTATGTCTTCCAGAAACAAAACATGCCCCCCAAATGACAGCAGCATCCTGTGCTGTGCTGAGTGGATACAATAGTTGGGTCTGCCTTTCTGGAATTGGATGTGCTTAGCTACAAGTTTTCACTGTGGTTTGTCTCCTGAACGTATGATTTTTCTCTTTTGGGTTGTAGGAGAAGATCCATGGCACAATCTGGCATGAAATCGATGACTTAAAGGCTTTCAGGGTGCTGGATCTGGAGGATTTTGAAAAAATGTTCTCTGCTTATCAAAGACACCAGGTAAGGGTGGGGCTCTTTTCCCCCAGCATTGCAGGCCTTGAATTTCTTGAAACTCTGGATCAGGATGGGACACATTAGTGACTGGACCCTTCACTGGCACCAGTGGGGGTGGGGAGAAACCAATAGGAGGTTACTTCTGCTTGAGAGTTTGGTGCTCCCTAGAAAAGCACAAGAGTGGGGAGGTGGGTAGGGAACCGTTGGCCAAAGTATAGCGTGCTGTTGCCTTGATATTTGATCCAAATGTGTAGCCCTTGGATACTACAGATCCCAGCAGGTAGTGCTCTGATTTGATCTGAGCAGCAGCTAGCTTCTGTAAAGCTCTTGAACTTTGTATTCAGTGCTCCTAATCTCTTTCTGTCTTTTTTTTCCTTCTTATTCCTCCCGGGGTAAAACTCTGGGCAGCTACAGAGTATTGAGCTATGTGATCAGAATTAGCTGGGTTTTGCTTTTGCTTTTTTCCAAACAACATATTGGCCAAACTGGCTGAGTTACAGAAACTGTCCAAGTTACAGATTATGACACTAACATCATACTCTAATAGCAGCCATTTATTAGAAGGTCTTTTTCCCCCCTCCTCCTATTCTTGGAAAGCGAGTCACCTACAATCTGTCTGCTTCCCAGGAATGAGATTCAGCAGGAACGGGGCTGTACTTCTACCTCCTTCCCTCCCCCAGATTTCTCTAGCGTTTGGAATGTGTTCGGGGAAACTTTCTTGCAACACTGCAGAATCAGGCCATTGCTCCTGAGTTTGAAGACAGACACGGAAATGATAGCTAGACGCTATTTTGATGCTTAAATATTGCCCCCTATAGTGTTGCAGAATTACCAAGTGAGATTTAGCTAGCTTTGTTCTCTCACTCTTCTCTTGTAATTTTTCATCCAGTGTTAAATTATAAACATATTAAAATAACTTGCACAGTCTGATTTAATGGTACAAACATAAGGAGTTTAGTCAAGGCTTCCCTTTCCATCTTTAGCCGATACCACTGAGTCTACACTAGGTTTCAGACCTCTATTATCAGGCATTGGCAAACTGATTCCAGTAAAGAACTAACCTGGGCACCGTATCTCCAGCCGTCATAAAAGCAGGATTAGTAGAACTGTTCCGATTCACTAACCTAAAGGTGTCTAGATGAGCATCCCAATTTGGAAGCTTTCGAGGTTCCATTATATGATGAGAATGTTGCACTTTGGTCCTCATTTTACCCCTCAAATATCTTGATATTTCAGTGGGGTTGCTAGGATTACTGACTGACCAGAACTGTCCTAATCTTGGGATGTTCAGATTAGGCAGATTATTTGCATGATAAAAGACCCCCAAAATATCCTCCTAAGGTATTTACTCCTCCGTAAGAATCCAGTTTAGTCAGACTAAAGTACATGAAATTCATTCCTTGTCCATGGCTGGCTTTAGACATTTGCAATAACCACAGCTGTGAGGGGAACCCTGAATCCGTGCTGAAACAGGCAGTTGCCATCTATACGTGTTAGCAGCCATAACAGCAGCAAGACACCATCACAATGCAGTGATGTTGCATCAACACATGACATCAAGAAGTAAACATTGGAGCTTCATCACTAGGAAAGGCCTTCCAAAGTCTTGCCTCCTTTGGGCCCCAGAATCTAAAGCTGAGGCTGTCCTTGTCTGCCAACTCTTAGTTAGAAACATAATATTTATGGCTGCATTACCAACCACTGAAAAGCAGTTTGGCCTGTTCAACCATAATCTAACCTGACCCTAACCCCTTCCCACTGGAGTGGAGCCATCCTCTGAGAATGACCTCCAGGAGTCTCAGAATGGTCCTTTTGATCCTTATAAAAATACTATAGTACTTTATAACAATAGCCCCAGACACTGCAGTATCACTGATGTAAGATATATTAGTGTAGAATACCATAGTATGTTTTTGTACTAAAGGTTATTGACTGTATTCCAGCTTTGGCTTCAGTTTTACACATTTTTTTCTTTAAATATTCCTTGGTTGCTCCTTTAAATGATGATATTTCCTTTTTCATCTACATGCATTCCAATGCAAACTGGATTCCAATCAATAAGTCCTCACCATTTTTAACAAGCAACCAAAGTTCCTCATGAATTAAAATCTGATCAGAACTTTTCCAGTTGATTCACGCTTGGTCTTTTCTTCCTTTTTATTGTTGGAAATGCTCCACTCTGGCCAACTATGCGTTTACTCTGGGTTCGTGACTTTTAAACTTCATCCAAATATCTGTGAAGAAAAATGTCAAAGCAAATCTCTGCTCTTTTGCATTTGAAACAGAAAGTGAGCGTGTAAATAAGGCATTTCTTTCTTTTGCTGCTATTAACATGGTCTTAATATATTTTTCCAGTTTCATTTGTTAAACTGCTTCTTTATTTTTAAAGACAAAAGGATCTGTTCTCCCCTCCCTTGGCACGTGTATCTCCTGCTGTGGGCAGAAGCAGGGTTGCGTCCAGTGGACGAGCACTGGACTAAGAGGCAGGTCTCTTGGACTCCTCTCCGGACTCTGCCACTGACTGTATGATGTTGACTAAATCACTTGAGCTCTCTGTGCTTTAGTTTGCCTGTCTATAAAATGGGGATAATACCAACTGCAGAAGGGTGTCGTGAGCCTTAATTATTTAGTGTTTGTAAAATGCCTTGAGATCTCTGGATGGAAGTTGCTCTAGAAGGACAATGAGTTATGATTAACAATGGGGAGCTATGCACATGCATAAGGAGAGGAGAACAGAGCCTGGAATGTTAACCTTGGCAGCTCTTTGGAGAAGGACTGTGGCCTAGATTTTTAAAGGTACTTGCCACTCAGCGTTGCAAGGCCCAAGTACCATTGACTTTCCATGAGCAGAGCAGTGCTTAAATACCTTTTCACAATCTGGGCCTATGTTACTTGCAAATAATTTTATTCTCTTAGAAAACTGTGTATGGCTAAAATCTGCCTCTTTGTTAAACTTGGTATCTTTATCTCTGTGGCTAATGTTTGGCATGTTTCCTTCTCTGTTATTTGCGGCTGCTGCCTGCATAGGACCTGCTAACTAACCCTTCCTCCTGTAAGCAGGTGAGTACCACTGTCTGCCTCCTAAAAACAAACTATTGGCTTGCAAGATTCTCCTGTGGTGTGCAGACCAAAGACAACACACAGCACCATGCAAATAAGGGGCCCTGTGCTCATCTAGTGCTCGATTTTCACCAGATCCTGCCTGGGTGGGGAGGAGGTACAAGCAGCTCCCCTACTTGCATTCATCCGGGGTGGGAGGAAGCTGAACACAAGCATCATCCTTTCACTCAATTGTGCAAAATGTGGAGGTCTTGGTCTGTTTTCTACTGACAGGTGACCACATCATGGAAAACTCATCAGTATAGCTTGCTCTGTGGTCCCCTTCTTGACCATTTTTAGCAGAGAGGCCAAGGAACAAATGGGACATAGAATGTGAAGTCCTCCTCAACCGTAGCAATGCTTTCTGCAGTTCAGTGTGTGACACACCACGGTAGGGCACTGTGGGGAAAGTTTACACTGACCTGCCCACACCTGCTTTGGAGATGACTTCAGTCTCTAGGCCGGTCACTTCAGGTCCCTTTCACCAGCCACAAAACAGTCAATAAAGAAGAGCTTCTGTCTGTGGGGCAGGAAGAAGATGCCGAGGCTTGAGTTGGGAAGAAGGTTTCAGGTCGTTTCCCAGTGACCCTTCAGGGCAATTGAAGAGCAGAGAAGGTAGATGAGAGAGGAGTCCGGTTCAGTCCACCTTTTTTGGGAGGCTCATAGTCCTCAAAGACCAGGAGGAGAGACAGAAGTGTGTGCGCGTGAAGTGAAGAAGTTCAGGCTCACTTGTCTACTCATCGCACTACGGGCACCTTAAATAAAATCAGAGTAGAGAACACTTCAAAGGAAGGCATAGCTTTCGAAAATGGGTTTGTTCTGCAGTTAGTCCCTGCTGTCCTATAATGAGTCCTGGTCACCAAGTCTCTGGGAACTGCCCTTCCCAGAAAGTCCTATAAGAACCTTGGCCACCAAGGGAAGCTGATACATGGTTTTGGTCAGCTCGGTATTTTTCAGCATGTTAAGGGACAATAAAGGACAAGGTTGTGTGGTAGAAACAACTCCCCAAGGCAAGTTTCTTAGGTTAGGATTTTTACAAGAGCCTAAGGGAAGTACTCCCAATGGGAGACTTACCCTTATGGCTGTCCCTAAAATAGGCACATCAGTTATTTCTCTGCCATGTGAGAGTACTAACTAGGGCCTTTAAAGTAGTTTGGAGATGAAAAGCTTTAAAAAGGTCTATTCTAGACATGCCTGTGCAGAGCTTCCATTAGCCATATTCAGAGTCACACAAGCCCTTTGAGAGGAGAACAGACTCACTAAGCATCTTTGGGTCTCAAGTCCTGGTTAATTCTCCATTACTAGTGGACAATGACAACTACAGGGAGCTGGTTGCCGCTCTCTTATCCTCAGCTGCCCTGCAGAAGCTAGAGCTGCAGGGAAGGGCTACTCAGCTGCTGGCATAAGCTCCCTAACCTGACTCCAGTGGAGGATCAGGACTAGTGCCAATCTGCTCCCGCATGCCCCTTCCTGCCCCCTGACTCAACCCTTTCCTTTGCCTTACGCTGGGGTCTGGAGGGCAGCTGATGTCAGAGATGGTTATGCTGCCTCTGCCAGCATCACACCTGTGGAGATTCTCCTAAGGGGGAATTCTCCAGGGTCAGTTTCTGGCCCTCAGTGGACTGGAGAATCTGGCTCTGAGACAGCATGGAGCATGCTCCTGCTGAACATCAAATTAGCGTTAGTTCCCGTTTTTGTGTGGCGAGTACAGCTGACTGACTCCAGGGATCCCACTCATCATGTCGTTTCTCTGTGTTTCTTGGCATCCCTCGCTCAATGGGAATTTGGCAGGCCTGTGTTCCAATGGTGAACTCAATAGTTAAGAGACAATATAAGGACTCTTATCCAACTGCCTCCAACTGGGATGCAACCTTTCCGTACTGCTAGGCAACCTCTACTGCAGGCACTTCCTCCTGGAGGCCATTCAGGCTTCTGAATAGACCTGTGTTCCTGGGGATATACACATGCATGTGCACTGCACCATAATGCACCCGGTTCTGCTCTCATATTGGTTTTACACCAGTGTAACTCTGTTGATGGAGTTACTCCTGATTTACGATGGAGTGAGATCAGAATCGGGCCCAATGCCTGAAAGCTAGGATGATCCTGCACAACAAATGATCAGCATTTGTTTGACTAGTGAATTGGGCTGAAAATCTGTCTGAGTCCCTCCTCCTTTAGAAGTTGATGCACTTCCTATCTCCTATTCTGCCTCCTGGATGAATCTCCCCACCAGTTCAGCGCTAGTGGGTTAGGCTGGGCTGTTGCCTAATATACTTGGTTTATTCTGTGGGTGTTGGCTAGAGAGAAGAGGAAGAAAAAACAGGGCATTGATTATTTTTTCTGTCTGGTTACTTGCAGAAAGAGATGGGCTCAACTGAGGACCTATACTTGTCCACACGGAAGGTTAAAGAGCTTTCTGTTATTGATGGCCGAAGGGCTCAGAATTGCGTCATTCTCCTCTCCAAGTAAGTGTAGTAGCTATGAACTCACGGTGTATAGCATGGTTAATGTGCATAGAGGCAAAGATAGACCCAACACACGGACACCCAAATACGCACTGAGATCAACCATGGACACCTGCATGTGCACACAGATGCAGATGTATCCACACCCAGATGAGCGCTTGCCTACGTGGAATTGCATCCACTCCTGGAGACCCGAATGTATTTACAGGTTTGCAAACACACCTGGCCATCCAAAACACAGGCACTCCACAGATCTATATTGAAACACAGGCAAGTAGATAGACTCTCAACTGCCATAAACGCACACAAACAAGTGTATGTGGGGAATGTGGCCACTGTGCAGTCAACAGTACGTGGGCTGTCCCATAATGGTGCACCATATATGTCATTTGGCAGCAGTTTCTCTGTCACATTCTTCTCTGCATATTGCTCTGAGAAACCCTTTGGGAGCACACCAGACTCCTGAAGGATGCTGGCAGATCCAATACATTTTTCTTCAGCCCCTCCCTCCCCCAACTTTTTTTGTTTTGTTTCATTATTATTGCCTTTGTGGGGAAGGCAGCGAATGTGAGAGACACTCAGGAGACACTTTAGATATTACGTGCCAGCAGATGTTTTTGCATCCTCCGTATCCTCCTGCAATGACCTGTGTGTCCTCATATGCTGTGTATCTGGGCTATATGCACACCTTGCATGTCCTTTGCCAACCATTCTTGGCTAGGCTGCAGGTCTGTTGCTAAACAACAGGTCTGGTTCAGTTCTAAGCTCTGCAGAAGAAGACTCCCCTTGCTACCAGAGAGGAGAGGAGTGTCAACAACTGGGGTGGAGACAGCTTTTGAGGCAGCACTCAGAAAAAATCATTCCATTGCTCAGCAGGAAGTGCAGGTTAATAAGCGTTGGATTCCTCACCCCCATCCCCACCCCCCAGCAAGCTAACAGTTAAAAGCAAAGCTGCAGCCAGACCAGCAGAAATGGAGCCCGTTCTTTCCATTGTTTGGTGAAACCCACTGAGGTTCTCATTAAGTTACTTATGTGACATTAGTCGGCATGTCAGCGAGACACGCTGGGGCCCAGATTAGCTCTCTTAAGCACGTGGAATGTATCTTATATTGATGGGAGAGGATCTCAGGGTGAAAGCCTGTTACTTGGGTTGTCAACAAGAGATTTGGGTTGTTTGCGCATCTTTCTTTTTCATACATTTAAGTTAACTGTAACCTGGTTAAAGGCACCAGGGTGAAGCTCTAGGGACTGAATTTGTGTCTCTGTCCAAAGAACAAGAACAGCTTGGGCACTAGCTTTTCCCCCCAGTCCTTGTTCTGCCCTGATCATATGCCTCAGACCTGACCTGGGGAAATTCTCTGAAAGAGTGAGAGCGGAGGTCATTCTCCAAGCCTTGTCTTCTTTTTTCCAACTGCTAGCAAATGGGCCTTGGGGAGTGGTTCTGAGATGTGGACACTTGTATTCTAGGACTTAGGCTGAGCGCCATCAGCTCATTTCACATGGTCCACCAAGCCATCATCAAATGAGCATGACTTTGAGTATCAGGGGGTAGTCGTGTTAGTCTGTATCTACAAAAACAACAAGGAGTCTGATGGCACCTTAAAGACTAACAGATTTATTTGGGCATAAGCTTTCATGGGTAAAAACCTCACTTCTTCGGATGCATAGAGTGAAAGTTACAGATGCAGGCATTATATACTGACACATGCCCCTGGTCACCACTAAGCCCCCACTTCGGACTAAGGTACGCAAATTCAGCTACGTTAATAACGTAGCTGAATTCGAAGTACCTCAGTCCGAACTTACGGCGGATCCAGACGCGGCAGGAAGGCTCCCCCGTCGATGCCGCGTACTCCTCTCGGCGAGCTGGAGTACCGGCGTCGACGGCGAGCACTTCCAGGATCGATCCGGGATCGATTTATCGAGTCTTAACCAGACGCGACAAATCGATCCCAGAACATTGATTGCCTGCCGCCGGACCCTCCGGTAAGTGAAGACGTACCCATGGAGAGCAGGGAGTTACTTCGCAAGTGGAGAACCAGTGTTGACAGGGACAATTCAATCAGGGTGGATGTA